CCAAGTCCTGCTCTTTTGAATGTTAATAGTGTAATTACTTTGACCTTTTTGGGAACAAGATCAACTCATGTATCTTTGATTTATTACTGTATATAATGCATCTATTTGCAATTAAATCACCTTTGCCTATTTTTTTATTTTGGTTAATTTTATTCAAACTTAGTCTTACTTCCACATTTGTTTGTTACTCTACAGTTGACACTCCAGATCCCTATGTGGAGCTGTTTATCCCATCAGCTCCTGATTGTAGAAAGAGGACAAGGCATATCAATAATGATATTAATCCTGTGTGGAATGAGTCATTTGAGTTTATTTTGGACCCAAACCAGGAAAATGTTCTGGAGGTAAGTTGTGCACTGAGATGCAACTGGACATGGAAGATAAGCAACATCTGGGGGGTTAAAATAACATTTTGCACTTATGCAGCATCTATCATCTGAGGATTTCAGTATGTTTGTTTAATGTTAAAGGATGGATTGTTCCTTTGGCCATGAGGCTGAGCAAGAGAAGTTATATAAGCTGCACCATCCCAGAGGTAGCTCTAGAACATTGTGACTCTAAGGCATGCATCTAAGTCACTATTTCTTCCCTGCCTGTTCCAGAGGTTTAGTAATGTGCTGTTCTTCACAATAGCAGCAAATTATTACTTATTTCTACTGCCCCTTACCTGACTCAGCTACTTGGCCAGAAAATAGGGTAGGGTGGAGCTAAATTTCTCCCCATTCTTCACTCTTCCCTGACCACAAAGTCTTCTGACCCACTTGTAGAGGTGTTCCCAACTGGAGTTATTTTTAGTCATTCTGGGGGTATAGGCTAAAGCCTAAATGGGATCCTTTGTGGGCTGCTAACCAGTTGAGACTAAACCATTTGAGTTCCAATAGTCCTCCAGTGTCTTCCCATGTAGTTCCCTATTGGATCAGGAGAGAGTCCTTATAGCAACTCAGTTTACTGTAGCTTAGAGAATCATGGGATATGCTCTGAAAATTCCTAGTGACACATGGATGACTGCAACATTTTGAAGACAAAGTAACTGGTTTGCTGGACTTGAGTACCAGTCACTTAAACTACATGATTTTGCTAGCTGTGCACAACTTATATTAGGAAATTCAAGGGATTTAAAACCCTAGCTTGTGATTCCCTGTTTTACAAACAAAGGGGAGAGTATCTTGCTGAAGTTAGGAATTGGCAAGAAAAATGGGAATGTGTAATTTTATTTCATTAGGTCATAAATAGGCAATAGTTAGAATACTTCCTAGTGCTCCTCTTAAAGCTGGCCCACTGGGGCTAGGAGGGAGAGAACAAGTCAAAGGATTTGTAGCTCAGTGAATCGGTGTTTCCCTGGATAAAAGGCTCAGGGTCCTTCTCCCAAGGAGAAAAAGTTTCCCATTGCTTTCCAGCTATTTATCTAATGAATGTTAAGTACAAGGTGCAGTGTCTTAGTTTCAAGAGGAGAGCAACATAGAATTCAAAGCTACATGTAAGTGCTAAAAATGAAACTTACATGGTTGGTTAAATGCCCCATAGACACGTAAAGTAAAATAGGATTCTGCCTTCTGAATCAAGTCTTCACTACTTCCCTGACTCCGAGATCCTTTGGAAAAGGATCTTGGAGTCATCATTGACTCCAAGATGAACATGGGCCGGCAGTGTGGGGATGCAGTCAGGAAGGCCAACCGTACCTTGTCATGCATCCACAGATGCATCTCAGGCAGGTCCAAGGAGGTGATCTTCCCCGTCTATGCGGCACTGGTCAGGCTGCAGCTGGAGTACTGCGTCCAGTTCTGGGCGCCGCACTTCAAGAGAGATGTGGACAGCATCAAGAGGGTCCAGAGGAGGGCCACTCGCATGATCAGGGGGCAGCAGGGCAGGCCCTATGAGGAGAGGCTACGGGACCTGAACCTGTTCAGCCTCCACAAGAGAAGGCTGAGGGGGGATCTAGTGACCTGTTACAAATTAGTCAGAGGGGACCAGCAGGCATTGGGGGAGTCCCTGTTCCCCCGAGAACTGCCAGGAGTGACCAGGAATAACTGTCACAAGCTGGCAGAGGGTAGATTTAGGCTAGATATCAGGAGGCGCTACTTCACTGTCAGGGTGGCTAGGATCTGGAACCAACTTCCAAGAGAAGTGGTGCAGGCTCCTACCCTGGGGGTCTTTAAGAGGATACTAGATGAACACCTTGCTGGGGTCATTTGACCCCAGTACACTTTCCTGCTGTGGCAGGGGGTCGGACTAGATGATCTACTCAGGTCTCTTCCAACCCTAGAAACTATGAAACTATGACACTATCTTGAGTGTGTGTGTGTCTCGCTGTCAGCTTTCCTTATGCATGGCCCTTCTGAAGTTAGAATCTTCCTAAGAAAATTCTAATTTAGGCTTTAGAAACAAGCAGAAACTATGGTTGGATTCTCTAGTAAAGCCTTCAGTAGGTCCTGCAGTCTTGGAAAAATCGGCGGTGTAGAAAACTGGGGAGCAGGGTAGAAAGTTTACTTTCTAATATTGACATCATTGAAAGAATCCTCAAGTGCAGGAATCCTGGTTTTCTCTGATTTAAAAAAATCCCCAATTTTCAGATTTAAAAAAATAATCCCAAATCCACGTTTTTCCATGAGTAGAATGAAACACCACTATACACAAACACATACACACTATATATATATTAGTGAAATTTCATTTTAATTGTGAAAAAATGTGGTTACTTTTGGGGTTACTTTTTATCATCTGAAAATTGGGGATTTTTTTTAAATCAGAGAAAACTAGGTTCTCTGCTGATGTGTCAAACTCTGTTGGTTATACTCTCGGACAACTTCTTTGGCTTCAAAATGGGGCCACAATTATGTAGTGAGTATAGAATTTAGGTCTACCAGAGTTAAAAATAATAACTGTTGAAGAAATGAGCATTAATGACTAATGACTTATCCAAACTCAGGACAAAACCATGTCTCGTCAAGACAAGACCATGTCTCTTTCTGTCATATATCTTTAAATACCGTGACATCAAAGAACAAATGCAAAGATAGACATGCATTTTGTACTATACTGTGGTCTTGGTCATTTTCTATTGTGATAAAGCCTGAGTTACCTGCTTCTCATTATGACTTGGTCTTCAGTCATCTCCTGCTATGCTAAGAACTGAGACAGTTTTTAAACACCTCTTGTACATTTTATGAGCGGTTTCTCAGCTTTTAGTAGGGGTTTATATAGTCATCAGAAAGTATAATATTTTATAAGCTGATACATAATCAATTTCTAGTATAATACAGCTATATCCAGTTGCCAAAATTACATCACTATCCTTTTTCACAGCTACCTGGATATATTTTAAATTGGAATTTGGTTGTGCTTGCTTACAATAATGAAAGATTTCCATTTGTCCCTGGAAAATATTCTATTCAGTCCCTTGAAAATTGCCTCTCAAGAATAAGTGATATTATGTCATAATGGTAAATTGCATATCATTTTACAGAAAAAAAAAAACTTTTCCTAGCAAAGATTTGATGTAACATTGGCTTTCTACAATACTGTAGTAATAAACTGTTTAGTTTTTTAAGAAGTCTATACTTTGCAGGAGGCCTGTTTGATTCGGAGATTCAAATCAGATTCGGCCGCTAAATCAGATTCAGCTGACTCGATTCAGGACAGTGATTTGAATCACCAAATCGAATCACTGTCCCCCAAATATAAATCCGAAGAAAATAATAGCCACTTTGCGCAGGCCTAATAATTGCCTGTGTCTAGGCTATGACTATGGGTTACACGGCTTAGTCGCATTCTTTTCTTTAACCTTGCCTTTTTTGTTTCAAACACTCTTTTTAAGTTATATGAATTTAAAAGGTGATACACAAACCTTTAGTTCATCTTTGATTATTTTTTCTAGATTACTTTAATGGATGCCAACTATGTCATGGATGAGACTCTTGGCACCTCAACATTTCCTATATTCTCTCTTAAAGTGGGAGAGAAGAAAGAAGTTGTGTTTACTTTCAATAAAGTGAGTCACGTTTCCATAACTTTGCCTCTTTTGAAGCAGCATTGAACAAAGTGATGAAGTTTATTGGAGTGGGATTGAGACATTTGGCCAGTTTATGTATTTGTAAACAGAATGCATTAGCTTCCCTTTGGAAAGTATTCTGTATGATTCAGAAATGTCAAGCTATTGCTCTCGAACAAATCTCCACATTTTGTTTAATTCCATGGGACTGCATGGGCATAAGAAATTAGACAAATGTTGGCATGCAACTTGTTACTTTCACTACTGCTATTTATATTTCCTTGAACGTTAAAGGGATTCTTTTATAGATAGCACTGCTAATAAGGCTAAGGACAGATAGCCTACAAAACCAAGGCTGAAATGATTCAATCTTCACAGGTTAGTCTAAGATGCACAGATTGAACCAATAAGCAAGTGAATAGACATTCCTTTTCAATTCCAGAAATGCTGGCACAGGCCTGCAGTGGTACATTCCAGAAGCGGGGGGTGCTAGAGCATGCCTCCCTGCTTGTCTGGAGCAGACAGCTTGGGCCAAGGCTTGCCCACCCACCCTGTGAGGGGGAGTTTGCAGGGGAGGTGCAAAACATTCTGGGATGCTGGGGGCTGTAAGTAAATTTGAATCTGGAGGGGAGCTGGGACCGAAGTTCAATAAACTTGACTTAACCTCAATCAGTTAAGTCTGATACTACATCCATCCAGGTTCACCTTAAAGCAGTTTCAACCATTTTGAAAGCTGTTTATGTGCACTGAACTTCTGTTGTATTACAGATACGAACTGGTTTCTGATCACTTATACTGGTATGTATGTAATTTCAGTCCCTAGCCGAAATGGTGAGCAGAAATATTTGGTTAACACATAATAATGCACCATTGAGTGTTGTAATATTAAGGCAAGTCACAATTTCTCTATTCTGTTTGGGTCTGGGGGAATATAATTTAGTTAATTTAGCAGCACCTTCAGCCTATACTATAAATCCTGAAATGTGGTTGATTTGCAAAACATTTTTATATAAATGCTATTTACAGATACTATTTCAGCTGCTATTTACAGCTGAAATATTTTACAGTTCTGCTTTATGAATGTATATGAGCAGAAATCTTTATCACACATCTTTTTTAAGCTTTATGATGCATGGCATAATCATTTAAGCACATTCTGGAAAAGCAAATAGTTGGTTAAAGCCTATTTATGTAAATCAGTTACACTATGTTCATTAGGGCTGGGGACAGAAATTACACACAAACTGGTATAAGTGATCAGAAACTAGTTCAAATATGTAACATAACAGAAGTTCAGTTCACATAAACCACTTTCAAAATGGCCAAAACAGATTTAGGTTAAATTGGTTTATTGAATTTCTGTCTCAGATCTCCTTCAGGGTCACTTTAAGTCTCAGTCTCCCAGGATCCTGTGATGCTTTGCACCTTACCTGAGCCTCCCCCCATGCTCTCCCCTTGTAGGGTTAACAGGCTAGCCTTGGCCCAAGCTGTCTGCTCTAGCTGAGCAGTGAAGTGTGCTCTAGCACACCCTAGCTTCTGGCCTGGCCCCTTGCAGGCATGTGGCTGCATTTCTGGAATCAAAAGTGAATGTCTATTCACTTGCTTATCAGTTCAATCTATGCAGCTTAGATTAACCTGCAAAGATTGAATTGATTCATCCTTGGGCTTTTTGACTGTCTGTACTTAGGTGTTGGCATGTAATTAAGTTGGTAGCTTGAGGGTTGATGTAATTTTAACACCTTGTTTTTAAGGTATTGCTTAACTTATTACTTTTTGGTCTCTTCCATTTTGACTGGCTCTGCTCCACTGACATCTGATTTTGCAATGACATGAGATAAGAATTCTCATTTAGGTAAAGCAATGAAGAGGGGTAACGGGGTTAATGAGGAAAACGTTTCATATTTTGCATTAATGTTGTAATGTAGTATCTTGTCACATTGCAAATATTTTTTTCTTACCCATCCACTGCTGCTATTGTACAGTAACTCTAGTTACTGTACATTTAGTCCAGGGGCGGGCAATTATTTTGGGCAGAGGACCACTTACTGAGTTTTGGCAAGCCATTGAGGGCCACATGACAGGCAGCCCAGAGCAGATAAATATTAATTTTCTAAATTTTTTAGGGGCCCCATGGGCCAGATAGAATGGCCTGGTGGGCCGCATCTGGCCCTCAGGCTGCATTTTGCCCACCCCTGATTTAGTCAGTACTTCATTAAGCAAGTACTAAATTAAATGCACAGTAATTACTAGGGGCTTGCGAAGTGGGCCCTATTCAATTTGGATTTGGATTTGGCCTGAATCAGGGATAGTAATTCTATTAATTGGTTCAGATCACTGTCCCTGATTCAGTTGGCCAATTCCAAATCTAAAGATTCGATGTTAATTCAGAGAATCAGTAATTCAAACACAGACACAGTTTTAAATATTTTTTCTACATACCTCAAGGTACCAGGTGTGGTTCGTGAATGCTGTGATGCTGGGGCAGATGCAGCATCTCCCAGGTCCCTGCCCCCAGACCAAGGAGACACTAGTCACTGAGCCAGAGGGCCATTAGGGAGGCCCCCAGCATGCTCCCCAGAAGACCTGGAGGTGGACCGGAAGTGCTTTTGGTCCACTTCCAGATCTGCTGCTGAGTGCGCTGGGGAGCCCCCCGTGCTGCTGTGGAGGCCCCAGCACCCATGCACCCCAGCATCGCAGCATTCATGAGCTGCCTGCTACCTAGAATTATGTAGAAAAAACATTTAAAGCTGTGTCTGTGTCCAAATTGCCGAATCTTTCCGAATCTCTCTGAATCAATTCAGAGGGTTCCAATTCAATTCAGAGAGATTAAAGGGTCCTCTGATTAGATTTTGGTTTGGAGATTTGGCCACCGAATCAGGCTGAATCTCCGCTGTATTGAATCAGGGACTGAAGCTTCACACAGCCATAGTAACTACTGTGCATTAATGAACGTGTAGACAGACCCGTTACTGAGTGAAATCTTTTGGAAGCAGTAAGTTTGCTTTTTCCAAAAACTATTCTTTGTAGAGGGACCTCTTTATAAAGCTGACCAACATATATTTTTTAAAGTGGATCTATACGCTTTTATGATAAGTTTATATTCAAAGGCATATATTGTCCTTTCCCTATACATGATGTAACTGAATTTAAATATTTTTTGTTTAGGTCACAGAAATGACTTTGGAAATGTCTCTTGAGGTCTGGTAAGTATATGATTTTAAAAGAATCTGTAGGGAATGACTGTATGATCTGTCAATATTTGTCCTGTTACTTGCAGGGCTTTTTTTCCCCCAAAAAAATCTTCGTTAAGTGAAATGCAAAAAATCCAGGTATTACAGTTCAAATATCAAACACTGAAAACTCAAGAGGATCCAAAACTGAAGTTTACACCCGCAAAGTAACACAGTTATTGACTTAACAGGAACCGCTGATATAAGCAATATCATGCACATACATTCCTATGAATTATTTGTATTTGCAGGTTCAATGCTATAGTAGTAAGTTCCTTGATCCTTTTCAAAAGTTCTGCCCCTTGTTAAACTTTCTAAGCTCACCAGGCTTCTAGCCACAGCAGGTATCTGTATGTTTTTACCCTTTTTTTTCTGGAAATTTGCACTCTGTTAGTCAACACGTACACCCATTAATGGGAGTATTTGCTATACCTATTTCAAATAATGGCCCTGCTGAAGTCCAGGGCATAGCTGAAGTCCAGGGCATAATTTGTACTGAACCACTGGAACCAGGATTTAACCCCACCTGAAAACACATGCATAAGTTTTCATAGGGTTAGGGACAATATAAGAAGCTAGTAGTGCTCTATTATGCATTCTCTAGCAGTCATATTCATAATTATTTTATATTCATCACAGACCCATAAATATTATAAAGGTAGAAATTAGTCTTCAGTTATATTTGTGTGTCTTGGTTAATAGGTCTGCCATTTTTTGAAAGATTCTCTCAGGATAAGAATGGGTAGTTTTGTTTGTTTGTTTTTTAAAGCTGGAAACTTTGTTATAATTGAAAAATGTCTTGGATGAAATTCTATCCCAGTCTAATCTTCGTAGGCTTTTATATCACCCTCATTGTTGCAGTACAGATGGCTTCTGGTTGTCCTTTTTCTAGGTCTTGAATGTACACAGAAAGAGAGATAATTACAATAGGCCATTAAGTAGGGGTGCCTATACATGTGCAGGACTACTGCTTTGATGCAGTGTAATACAGGTGTAATTACAGTGCGTCAGAGCAGACTCAATTAATCAAGTCTGTTGGAGCATGGTAATTACTGTGTTCCGGCAGACTCCAGTATCATATGTATCAGTGTCCCTGTTTAAGCTTTAGTTAAAGCACCCCCGCCACCATTTTTCAGTGCGGGGATGCTGATACATGTGACGCTCCAGTTTTTTTAATTAGAGCAGTTCTCAGAGCTGCTCTAATTAAAGTGCTCCCTACCTCCACACCTCCTGGAGGACATGTATAAATGCCCTAAGTGACTAACATCTGTCACCTCTGTTTTTTGTCTGTCTCCTGTTCTGTTTCTACGCAAGGAACAAAATGCACCTTAAGGGATAGTGAGGCATGAAGACTTTCAGTCCAAAAGTTATGAGCTCCTGAAAAACGTAGTTTTAAGAAGATTTTCATTAAGGTAGTAATTAGGAATAGTGGCTATAGGCATTTTAGTAAATATAACTAGGGGCTGTGGAAAGCACCCTCCAGGGTTTAGTTCAGCTTGCTGTTTATATCTATATAGACCTGTGTGTGGTCTACTAGACCACATGTAAAACTTTTGCATGCTTCAATATTTAAACACAATGGAGCATGAGTTGTGTTTGATTAATTTACACTTATAATGCAAAATCAAGATAAGCCTCAGAGGCATGTCTTGTTGCAACATATAGCATACTGCAATGTATTTAAATGAAATGAGTAAAATGGCCAGTATCTGCTCACAGTTATACTCTTTCAACTCTTTCGAGGCCATTCCAGTTAACCAGTCAGAGTTCTGTGTTTTAATTATAAACTCCTGTTTATAATTTTCATTTAACTTGTACAATTATTATTGCATGCATTTTTGTGGTTCATTGCTTCTAGGTTTATTCTGCTCATTGTGGTACATGATAACTTGACTTAGTGTCTCTTGATGTATATTTCCACTTTACATAAGTAGTCACATATTTACAGATACATATTTTTCTTCATAAGAGCCCCTTGATTAGGTGCTTCGTATTTACACTGTCAGAATACCTCAGAGCTCAAAATGGCGGAGTTTCAATGAAAGAGATCGCAGCAAAGACCCTGAACCACCAAAAAATACATTTAATTTAATTTAATTTAATTTAATTTAATTTAATTTAATTTAATTTTAAGCATTGGATACTGTGAATGGTACCCACAGGGTTAGTGTTAGACAAATGCTTAACTGCCTAGCTGGACTGGGATTTTTATAATAAGTTATCCCTATTTATAAAGCGATCACGTTAGGAGTATTGGGGGTGACACCCCCAGAGTTGTATACAACAGGGGTCAGCAACCTTTTACATATCCCAGTAGTCCCATTCCCCTTGTCTGTCTCACACTCCCTCCTCCTCCCCCACCCTCAACGTCCTTCAGAGATGGTACTGCTGTGGGGAAGTATCAGTACAGCCAGTAGACCAGGGGTTAGAACTGCTTACCTTCTCTTTACTGTATGCGATGGAGAATGGGAGCCTAGTGTACAGAATAGCTAAGAAAACTCCAGCCCAAAACTTAGGTCCTGCTGGAGATTCATGCATACATCGGGTTCTGACCCTGCAAGTCCATGGGATCTGAATGTTAACAATTATAACAGTCTGTTCAGTGTGATTCACTTGCTGATATGTCAGCTTGTATACAGCTGCACATTTCCTGATTGGCCCTATTTAAGCCCACCTTTGGCAACTGACTGCAGGCTGGTCAACAGTGATGTCTGATTGCTCCAAGCTTGTGTCTTAACCCTCTGTCCTTGGATAAGCTTTCTCCTTCTTGCCTTGGTTCTGAGCATTGGGCTGGACTGCTCACATCCCTGTCCCCTACTACACCAAGATGCCTTTGTTAATTTTGTCTCAGTGACTTTCTAGCTTTGGAATTAAAGCCTGTCTGTTTTGTAAACAGCTCTTCAACTGACCTCCGGTTCAGCATGGCTTTATGTGATGAGGAGAAGAAGTTTCGACACCAACGGAAGGAGAAAATCATGCAAAATATAAGAAATCTTCTAGGAGCAGAAAAAAGCAAGGATTTGACCATCTCCCGTGATGTAGGTTTGGAATGTTTCTGTTAAATAGCTAGAAATTAAGTGGCAGGACCATCATTGTCCATGGGAAGCCTACCACTCGCTTTCTGAAGAAATGAAAGACAGACTAGGATGGAAGGGTACTAGGGAAAGTCTACTATATGGAAAAATAAACTTTCATTTTTTTAGTCTCAGCATGTGCATCTTGTGGGAGGGAAGCTGACTTTTCTATTCGCAGTATGTGGAACTTAGAGTTCTAGGCTCTGATCTGGAAATATGTTATATGCAGACATATCCATGTGCCTGAACTGAGCCCCATTGAAGACAGCAGGGCCCTGCACTGGCTTTGGGGTCCACCTGAATGTGACAACTACTGGAATCAGAACCTTGGCTTTTAATCCTTATTGACACTTCACTTAGCTGTTTCCTATTTTAATTCCTCAGAAATTATACCAAAATAAAAAAAAAAAGAGTGTGTGGGGGGGATATTCTTATCTTTTTTTGTGCTGAAGCTGGATGGCCTGTGGACCTATTTTAAGCAGTTAATGGATTATTTTACCTCTGTATTTGTAAGTGGTTTTCCCCTGTCATAAAAAGTGTTCATTTTATAGTACATGGTATTTGAAACACTGTTTCTGCTTCTGTTCAGACCTACTTTTTCCTTTCACCTGGTGCATCCTTAGGACATCATGCTGCAAAGTACTGGGCAAATCTAGCAGTGTGTTTCCAGCATATAGCATTGTTGATGGCATCCCCCTCATAGAAGTTAGGGGTGAGCATCCACAGCTGTCGCTGCCTCAAGCAGCATTTCTGAAACCAAGCTTTTGGGGCTAGATTTATAAAAGGTACTTAAGTGCTTTGTTCAATTTATAAAGTATAGTTATTGCCTATTTAAAATTGGTGCGGATTAAGCAATTTAGGGTTTGTAAACTCCACTAGACACCTATGGGTACATGCAGACATCTGAGGCAGCTGATCTATGATCATGTGGCGTACTTTAAACTGCATGATTGTAGATTGGAAGTGACATGTATAGATGCTTGCTGATGCTGAGAGCTGTGCCAGGAACCCTGTGTAAATTAGTTGGCAGAGGGCCAGGCTGGTGAGTCTGTTGTGGGACTGTCCTTCCTGGGGTAGAAGGGTCAGGGAGCTAAAAATAGCCTAGTAAGGTAAGTGGGTAGGAAGAGCGCAGCTCCAGAGCTGAGCTAAGCAGCTAGGCTTTCCCAGCCCTAGGGTTGTGCTCTGAACATGTCCAGATGTTTGATAGTTTAGGCTAACTCTTTCCTAATTTAAGATAGTTCACCTACTCAAGTGAACTACTTTAAATCAGGGCCTGCCATGTTTGCCCCCTGTACGTCTGCGCAGATGGGCATTTAAATCAACTTAATTCGGGCTAGGTCGATCTAAATGTAATGCCTGCATGTACCTTATATGTGTATCTTTAAGTACTTATTTATCTTTGCAAATCATGTCTCAGGTATCTAAAGGCCATATTTTATTAACAAAATTAAAATCTATGTAATTTTTTGATCTTTCAACCTTTGCTATTTGATAATGCCCAAATGAAGTGTGGTGAGTTCTAATGAAGTATTTAATTAATATTCACATTTGTATTGCTTCATTTTGTGAGCTATATTTTTTTGTTTCATCATTATTTGGATGACACAGGGTGCAGCTACATGTGCTATTAAGGTGATGCAATAAGCTCTTGAGCAGTTCACACTGGAGTCAATTGCTCCAAGATACAGAATTTACACGTGTGCCCAGGACTGCAGTAATTAGAACTGGGGTGGAGCAGCCTTGGGCTGGCAGGGGATATGGGGGCTGAGCCCTGGGCTCATCAGGTGGCAGAAGGGCGGGCAGGAGCCAAGGGTTTGGCCCCCAGCTGACTAGGTTGACCAGACGCAATATGCCTCTGATGATCACTGTCCACATGAGCGTTTGATGGCAGTTAATTGCTGTCCCCGACAGTGCTATCTTCTGGTAGAGTAACTTAATTTACTGTATCCTAGTACTAGTGCACGTGTGGACAGTGATGCTTTACTGAGGAGCTAATTAGTCAAAATGTGCAGTAAAGTGCACATGTAGATGCACATGTAGATGCACCCACAGTGTTTTGCAGAGACTGTTTAAAGTTGAAGTTCAGTAACGGCGTAGAGGATTTGCTTTCCAGGGTAGCTTTTTATACTGCTGGGGACAGCCCAGGTACTGGTCCCAGGCTCTAGCTCCCCCTGGCTGCAGATCTGGGAGGAGTCAGGCACGGTTATTTTGCCCCAAGTGGCACAACAAAGTGCATGTCTGAGCATGTGCACTGAGGCAAAAAGCCCCAGCTCAAATTTGCACTGCTTCTATTTGAGCTGCTGCAAGTGCACGTGGTTGCATGTGTGGATGCACCTATAGACTCATCAAGTTCATATGGAAGTTATATAATGGGATCCTGCCCTCTTTGCATATTGCAAGTGTGTGGTATTAAGTTAACAGCCTTGGTAACAAAATTATCAGCACCTTTCAGTTGCCAGTGGTTATGAGAGAAGACAGTTTAGATTCAAATTCACATTTTATTTCTCTCATAACCTTCCATCTTCAATTTATTGCTGCAGATTATTTACATCAGGAGGTGGATTTGTAATCTGTTGATGTGAACACGGTGCTAGTAGTAAAGTAATGTAGCTTGTACTGCCAGTTCTACAGTGGACTTGTGATATGAGGCATATCACTTACTCATAGTTTATCTAGGTATCTTCTGTAAAAGCTAGCATGTTTGCCTTGTAGGCATGGTGTGCCCTTAATTAATGTTTGTGAAAGAATTTAACATCGTCCGATAGAAGATAACTCTTTCATTATTTATTTATTTTATATTAAGGCATGCTTTGACAGATGTGAGGACGGATTTCTGGAACATGTCCAAACCTAAGTACAGTTTCCTGACCTTGTTTTTTTAAAACATCATCAATTAAAGCAAGCATACACTTCATTTCTAAAATTAGCTTGGTAAAGTGTTTAGTTTTTGCTTATCAAAATAGCTGCCCATAGAACCTATGTTTAGAGTTGGACAAAACCATCTTCTGCACCACCCAGTCCCATCACAGGATTTAAGTAGTTTTTCTCCCACGTCACTCGAAAATGTGGTCTAGATGATCTTTTTCAATGCTGATAAGGTTATGTTTGCCTAAAACATTGCAAATCCTTCTCTAGTTCATATGCAGTTAAGAGATGAATGAAACAATCTGGAAATCTAGGATTTCCATGGAAATAAAGAGGAGTTTACCTTACCTATATCTATTACCTTCCTTCTATTTCCCAATGCTCAGGGAATGGAGAAAAAAGTTTGGCAATTTGTCTTTTTTTATATCTATAGTGCTAGTATAAAGTTACATTTGAGGCATACATTATGTTGTTTGCATGCTCTGAAACTTGTTCAGTCATAGATGTCTTTTTCTGCCAATGCCCATTCTTTAATATGCAGACTACCCAATTATTCTTCACAATGGACAAGTTAAATGTGGGGCGAAGATGCATATCAATTTGCTTATAGTCTCCTTCCTTCTATGTTGTTGCTGTCTTTGAAGATTTGTGTTGCTTATCACTTTGCTTATGCAGCAGTGTTTTACCCTTCTCTGCTGTTAGTATTGTCTTTTAATTATACCATGCAATCAGCTAAGAACAGGAGAGAAGAGAATTCTTGTAAATAAGTCAAATCCACATCTCCACAAGGGAAGAAACGTCACTGTCTAGGGTTACTCTGAACTCTTTTTTCTATCATACACAGAGGTATTAGCCATTCAGATAAATTACTTTAGATGTCATGGTGACTGTAGAAATCACACATTCTATGAGTCCCACTGTGGATCAGGATTAAATACCACAAAAATGTACATGGTTGAGATTCAGGTGACCCTTCAGACACTCTTTGAGCTCCTTTCTGGAGTATACTACATTCTGAAGGAGTCTCCATTTTTTCCTCCTGCTCCTGCCTTTTTACTAATTGAAAGACTTGTTAAACAATGATGATTTGAAAGTATTCTTACACACTTCTCTTCCAGGCTTGCACCTGAAACTGTCTTCTGCTCATCCTGTTGGGATTTGCCTTAATAGATTAATTAACTAATGTTTGTAAAGAGCTCTCAGCATTTTAAGTGCTTTATAAATGCTGAACATGCTTGCTAATATGAGTTGACTCTTCAAAGCATCCACTCCATCACTGGGGTGTTGGCTAAACAAAATAGGCATGTCTTAATCCCTCACCTACATTTTGTCATTCTTTGGCAGGTATTTATCTGTGGAGTTGCGTGACAAAGAATAATGATGCAGATAAATACCTGTGGTTAGAATTACTAATTCCCACTGATACATCTGAAATGTGCTATATAAATATTAATCTTGTGACTGAATAAAAATGCATTTGGATAATCTGTATAATGTCAAATCTTAGAGTTATTCAGTTAGTGTACAGACATTTCCACATTGCTATATGTTTTTGATCTATTAATGCAGGGGTGGTCAGCCTGCAGCTCTGGAGCCACGTGCGGCTCTTCAGAAGTTAATATTTCTCCTTGAATCTTTGCACACAGTGACCAGCATTCAAATGGAAGCTGGTTCCCATGTGCTTGTGAAAAGATTCAAGGAGATGCATATTACCTTCTGAAGAGCTGCATGTGGCTTCAGAGCCACAGGTTGGCCACCCCTATATTAAGGTTTTTCATTGTTTTAAGAACAAGATCTGCAGAATAACAGGAGAATTCTGTACTCCTGAGATCCCTCCTTTCATAAACAAACCCTCCCAATGGCATCTTACGATTTCAGCTCTTACAGGATGGCACTGGGATTGATACAAATCAAATATCTTGCAAGAGGACATTTGGTGGCAAATTGATTAGATCGAACATTGGCGTCATCCACAATTGCATTGTTTCCCCTTTATAAACAAAAAAGGGAGTAAACTCTTTTATTTGGAGTTCTTCTTTTATTGCTAGTGAACAGCGCCAAAACATGCTCGACTTCCTATGATTAGGAACTAGATTGAGCCCTCTGCATATAAAACACTACCCAAAATAAGTTCTGTGTTTATTTTTTCCCATCAACCAGCTAGGCCCTTGCTAGGTATTAGTTCAATCACAGCATGGCTTTTCTCTCCTGATGAAAACAGTATGTTGTGTGTATATCTAAATATGCATACGGCAGGCTGACAGGAGGAGGAAAGAGTGGTGTGACAGTTTATTCTGCTACTGCTGCTGCTGATCCGTTGGGAGAGTTTTTTCTGGTCAGCAGCACCACTGAAGGAATTAGGTGCTTCCACTAAAGAGTCATTCCCCAGGACCTCAGGCAGGCAATGGAGGTGGTTTGTGGGGGCAATCTCTAACCCTGTCCTGCACTGACCCAGGTGCATATAGCCAGTCTAAACTTATACAATTAACCAGTTAATTGTGTAATATATGTAATGTGTGGTGGGGAGAATAGTATTTACTCTTTTACTAGAACCTGTTTAAATTTCAGATTTTGTTGGTGGGGAGGGGTGTTTAAAATATGAAAGCTGAGATCAAGGTTAAGTAGTTTAGGAAGACTCCAAAACACAATAGAGGGATAGCCGATATGACAACAAAGCTTCTGTAGCTGCACTGACAGAATTGCAGCGTTTTCAGTCTGCTCCATTTTTATTAGTATAGGTGTCTGTGGGCATGTCTACACGTAGCCCTGACTATGCACTTGGTATTGCGCAGTCATTTAGTACTTAGCAAGTACTAAATGACTGCACAGTACCTGCCGATATTGTGCAGTCCTGGTGGTGCACAGGGCGTTTCTGATCCTACTACGCAGTTGCTACTGCACAGTAGTAGCAGTGTCACGGTCAGTGTCTGCCAGTGCTATGCTGCTGTACTGATGAGCTACACTGCTGTAGCTCATTGCTATGGCAATGTAGCATCTCATGTAGACATACCCTGTAAGGAGTTGTTGGGTGGCTGTATGTGTGTGCCTTCTCTCTTCCTTTCCTGATAATAGAATAGTGAGTGTGTCTATTTTTCCTGTAATACATGTGTATAGATTTTTTTAAATGCACATTTCTTAGGCTTTGCAGTTAATAGATCACTTAGTTTAATATCTTTTCCTTTTTTTTTTTATTTCCTGGGCTCTTGTTGGTCAGGACAAGTGCAGGGGGAAAATATGAATACTTCTTTGTTTAGAAATACTTGAAGGACATTTTAATAGTTTGAATAGAATTTTTTTTATTTTAATGTTCACAGACTAGTCACTAATAAGACTTTCTGTTCTGTGCTTGTACAGCACTTAGAACAATAAAGTCCTAGTCAATATGGACAGCTCCCAGGTATTTCAGCCTCTGTAGTAATAGTAGTAGTAATAGTAGTAGTAGTAGTAGTATGAGGTTGCTGATGATAGAATACAGCTATTTCTGGTGTGATGAGGTTATCAACTAGATGACGTTCAGGGCTGTAGGTACTAGTGATGGAGAATTTGGGTAGGAAAACTATGTAAAACTTACTTTCCTGAATAGTGCCATGATACCTTTCAATCTATGGAGAATAGATATGCATCTTTTAAGATCTCATTTTAGAATTCCTTATTAGTCTATTTGTTTCTAAAGTGTGCATTTGAATTCAGGTCTGTGTTTTGGCAACAAATGACTGTTGAATCAAATAATTACATGTCTGAAGTCTTTTAGTCACTTCTTGATGAACACAATGTATTTAGTTTTTTAAATACATCCTGTAGCTTTTCCTTATTATGTATTGTTCTTTCCATTTTCCTAGGTACCAGTAATAGCCATACTGGGGTCAGGAGGTGGATTTCGTGCCATGGTGGGGTTTTCTGGAGTTATGAAAGCACTTTACGAATCAGGAATTTTAGATTGTGCAACATATGTTGCTGGCCTCTCTGGATCTACTTGGTAAGGTTTTTGTTCATTTATTCTCTCCTTTCTCCCTTTGGTAAGCTGAAGATGTTTTAATTCATTCTTACAGTTGCAGGTATTTCTATATGGCCCAGATCAGTGCTGAACTGAAATGCCTAAACACAGACTTTGTCCATGTGAGCTCCAGAACTGAAAGCAGTATAGCTGCTTTTAGCCAGATGCTGAAAGGGAGGGTGTTTTAGTCTGAGAGCACCTGACATGAATGCTGGTTCAGGAGGTAGTGAGCACAGAACTACTAGTGCAGAGCACCTCCCACCTTGGGAGATGGATTGAGGATTTATGAATTTCATAAGTTAAAGCAAATGACATGGACTTTGTGCTGAAGATCACCCTAAGGAAGAAATCTTCCAGTCAAGTGCAGAAGAATGGCAATGGAGCTAATTCTTGGCTGCTGGTGTATTGGGATTTCTGGTAAGGTGTAGCCAGTTTTTGTCAGCAGGAGCTGGCCCAAAATCAATGCTGTTCCCATATTATCCACATCACCAGCCAACACTATGCTCAGAAGAGATGTAATGAATAACTGATTTTTGCTCTAGCAGCTGGACAAAAAAATGATATAAAAATGTAAAAATTATGTAGGTTAGACCTACATAAAATATTTTTTCTTACTAAAATGAAAAAAAAAAGAGTTTGGATTAAAACATCTCACATCCTGGATATGTGCCCTCACCATTGGGGTAGTAGGTAGAATTTAGTAGGGTGGGGGGAGGCGGAGAAGAGGGAGAGCCTCTTGCAATTTTGGAAGATTTGTGATGGTAGCCTTTCATTTACTTAATTTTTATTGAAAAGATGCTAAAACTGAATATATTTAAAAGGCAAAATGCCTTGCTTTGGTATTTCCTAAAAGAGGTGTTTTGTAGTTTTCAAAATGCTTGGTCATTTTTACTTGGCAAAAGCTGGTGAGCAAATTCAACCCAAACTTATGAATGGTTTTAGCTTCCCTGAGACACATTTTTGCTGAAAAAATGGCCTCTGATCTTTATTTCTAATGTTTTCATGTCATCTTGCATAGGGAAAGTAACTGCTAGGCTTGTTGGGAATCTTCAAACAAAACACTTTTCTGTGAGATAATGTCAGTTTGTTAAAATGACATTTTTCCTTGGGAATACACACAATAGTTTCAATCAGGATAGAATTTCTGACCAAAGTTAAAGAGAGACTTCCTCGCCTACCCTGGTAACTAGTGGTTTTTAGAGCCACAGTCCTCTGATATGTGGAAGACTGCTATCAACCAAGCAGAGCTGGAACTTTAAACTTTGGTTTCTCCCTCTCAAGTGAATAAATGAATTATTGGGCTACTGGTTGCTTTGAGGTGGGCATAAGTTCATTTTTATCCTAGTTTTTATTTTGGGAAATCTAGGTTTCTTTCTAATGTGGAATAAGACATTTTTTGACATCTCACAAACCTTCATGAGACATGCATGCCATGTCCTATGCAGTATCCTAGTTGATAACTTGGCACCTCTGTATTTTTGTTTACTTGTGAGATCTTTCTGTCACTAAGGACCTTGACTGGGGACCCAAAACCCTTGAAAACAAACTTGCACAAAAAATCTTAAAACTGCATCTTTAATTCAGAAAACAGAGACCTTTTCTTAGGAGATTTGGGTATGCGTGTTTCAAATTTGTGGCAGAAGAAAAACCTCTTATTCAGTTGGGTTCACACCATTAGGAAGTTGCAATAGAGTAAAAGTATATCCAGTACATTAATAGCAATCTAAATCCATCCTCTTTGGAACCACCCTTCAAGTAGTTAAAGGCTGCTATCAAATCTTTCTTAGTTCAGACTAAATAAGACCAATTCCCTCATCCTCTCCTCAGAAGTCACGTGCTCCAGGCCCCTAAGTATTTTTGTTGCCTTCTGCTGGACTCTCTCTAACTTGGCCACATCCTTTCTATAGTGGGGGCCCCAAAACTGGAAGCAGTACTCCAAATGTGACCTCACCAGTACAGAATAGAAGGGAATTATTACTTCCCTGGATCTGCTGGCAACATTCCTGCTAATGCAGCCCAGTTTGCTATTAGCCTTCTTGGCAACAAGGGCACACTGTAGACTCATATGTTTGACTCTAAGTTGATAAAATATAAGGAGATAAAATTCATATCAAAATACAAAACTTCTTTGAACCAGTGAGGTTGGAGAATAACCTTTAAAAAGCTGTGTTTAAACAAATATTCACCTTGTGCTGACTGGATGATAACACCTGTCCAGCATTCAAAATATTGAAAATATATACATTTTATTTTTTATACTCAGCTAGTATTGCCGCCTCTTTTCTTTTTGCATGCATTATTCTTTGGATATAGGGTTGTGCATTTTTTCTGAAGGGTGTGGAATACTATGAGTTCATCTCCTTAAGGGAAAGGGCATGTTTCTGCCTGTTTTTGTGAGGTGCAGTCTATAAGACTGTTTAATTTAGTCATCTTCAGTGAACCATGCAATGAACTTCTGCATCATGATTTCTCTTCCTACACATAGTATCTTGCTCATGCATTTATTCCACCCACATTTTGATATACCCATTAAATAATATTTTAAACTTGTATAGGCTCTGAAGCACTTTCCAGGCACTATTTAGTGAATCCTTGCATTATGCCTAGGATAATGAAATGTCAGATTTTATTATTATCTGGTTAGATAAATAGAAGCACAGTGAGGATAAGTTACTTATGAAAAAATATTGGCCGTCAAAACAATAATACAACGTTAAAAAGGGAGAAGGAACTTGTGTTGGCAAATCCATGATAACTCTTCTGTACATCTGCTCTATCTTATGGTAAATAGAAGCTAAGCCCAGGGCAGTTTACCCCAAATGAAACAACTGTTAACTGTACTACAGTTTAGCTTTCTAGAGCTCTATTTGGGATAGATATACTTTTAACCCTGTTACATCTGTTGAGACCCAAATGAAATGCCTATGTTGCAGTCAGGAGGTGTGATTGCAACAAAGGAAGCTAGCTTTAATTTAAATAGCTTTGGTAATAAAAGTGGTGAATAAGTGGTGGTTTGGGCTTTCACATGGGTTAACAACCCAGGGTTGACAAGTTTAATATTAAATTGTGTTGCTTTGCTTTCATTTTGTTACCAGAGTTAGCTGCTATTGAAAAAAAAAAGTGGCTTGGGTATACCTGCCCATTCTGCAGTCACATGTACAGTAAAGATATACCCTAAGATTTCAGAGCTACTCAGTGATGGAACCTTTTAACCCAGTATCCCAAATACCAAAAACTGGGTGAAACCAGTGCATAATGTCCTTCCGGTCATTAACTGTGAAAAATGTCTAGCTCTTGCTGAATCTATTCATGGTCCAATATCATAACTGGAATATGAGAGAGAATCAATGTTATTGTATCAAGACTATAAGTAAATCATTTCTACTGATTCAGAGAAATAGCAAGTAAGGTCCAATGGATAGACAGATTGAAAGATAAAAGGGTCCAGCAGTCCTGCTAGATCCTAAAGGACAGAGTATTAGAGGGACAACAAGGAAACTATTCTAACAAGGTGGATAAAAAAACCCTCAAAGAGCCTAAGGTTGTTACACAAGTAGGTTCTTAGCTACCTCGACATCAAAAGAGTGGAAATAAGGGCATACATGCAGTGGAAATAAGGGCAAGCCACTAAAGCAGGATACCAAAGAATAACAAGGACTTTCAGGGACTGTATCAGAATGAGATATAGCTAGTAAGGGATTCTAAAAATATATCAGATATAAAAGAAAGACCAAGGAAACCCTGGGGTCTTTTCAATAGCAAGGAGTGAATTATTAACAAAAGATTCAGAAAGCAAGCTGCTGAGTGAGCATTTTGCTTCACTTTTAACAAAACAAGCAAACAAAACAAAGCAAAACCAAAAACCTGAGACAAGATGGTTAAAAAAGATTAATGTTAACAAAGAACGGAACAGGCTGCAAAGTATGATAAGTGAAGAGAGTATTAGAGAGCTTCTGATACATTTCAATAAATTTAAGTTGGCAGGGCCTGACAAAATTCATTCCAGATGTGGAAGGAAGTAGCTGAAGAAATCTTAGAGCCAATGGCAATAATTGCAGAGTTGTAGATGATAGGCAAGTTCTCAGGGAAATGGGTAAGGACAAACATAGTGTCCACATTTTAAAAGGGAAAACGGAGGACCCAGAGAATTATAGATGTTGGTAAATCCAATCCGTGGAAGTTACTCAAGCAGTTTATAAAGTAAGCAATTTATAAGGCCCTGGAGCAGAATGGGTGATCACCAGCAACTAGCATAAATTTATTAAGAGCAGTGATGCCAGACCAGCTTGATCTCCTCCTTTGACAAGGCAACTAGTTGGGTGCATGAAGGGAATACGGTGGACATGTGATTAACCTCACATGTCATTCTCATAATTTAATTGGAGAAATGTAGTGTTCATAACTGGCTGAATAACCACAAGCAAAGACTGAAATAATGGTAGGTTCTATAGGACTGAACAACCACCACGATCCCTCTGGCTGTACAGCAAGCTGCTGAATGCCATTGTAGCAATTTTGAAGATTGCTGGGCAGGAGGATAGGAGGGGAAGGGACTGGCAGGGAGCTGTACATCTGCCCATGGCTTGAAGTGTTCCAAATCTAAAGCGATCCAGATCTGAGTGAAATTTGGAATTCTCCTGTATGTGTGTCCATAGCCATAGTCAAAGGCTTCTTTATGTTGAAAGATTTTTGGCCCAAGTGAGGTTTGGGTTCGTTTGGTTTTTTTTAACAGGTGAGTATCTGTTGTGGCTTGGTAAAGGTCTGTTCCTAAAAGATAAGCTTCAGGACCAGAATGCAGTTAGCACAAGCGATTCCATTCCTATTTCTTTCCTTAATTGTACAGTTTAAATAATTATTTCAAGTTTCCAGTTATAGTCTTGTATACATTTGGAGAACTGACTTCACCATGCTTCATAGAGTTTGAAGTAAAATAATGTATTTAGAGTATGAAAAATGTTAACATTTGTAAATAAATGTAGTGCTCTCTGTGTATGCAAACAGTTCCTTTAAAACAGGGATATACCACAAAGAATATTGTATTTATTATACTCTGTGTGAAAAAAGTACATATATTTTTAAGTTTAACCTTAAGATTTGGTCTTTCTAAAATTTGATCTTTGGGTTTTGATGGAGGTTTGTGCATGCTTATATGTGTATGTTAATAAAACTTTATCTTTCATTGTTTCTTTTTGAATTACCGAGCCTTTAGTCTTCAAACCATCTGGGGGACAGGTGAATAAATGCATGACACAGGAATGTTTCCAAGAATGTTTAAGTGTCTTGAAGGACTAAATCCCATGTTAAAATGTGCCTAAGGTGCATTTAAACATCTTTGACTGTTGTACCACTGTTATAGTCCTATTTTTTTTTTCAAGGGAAAAGGCTAAATGAGGCATAAAGGACAAATCCTGAAGTCTGAATGCCATAAGAGCTTTCCTTGGGTAAAAGCTCCAAAGTTTGGCCAAAAGTGAAAATCATATAGGAAATGATTTCACAATATCCAAATTCACATTACAGTCATCGTATTATCTGTTTGTTAATTTAGTTCATTTGGACCATAGTCCTTCTAACTGAAGACTCCAGGCTTGAGGGCCCAGTCATGTTTATTGAGAGAATTCCTATTGAATTATTTTCATTGCAGGTACATGTCAACTTTATATTCTCACCCTGATTTCCCAGAAAAGGGACCAAAGGAGATTAATCAAGAGTTGATGAACAATGTCAGTCACAATCCACTTAAGCTGCTTACTCCCCAGAAAATCAAACGCTATATTGAAGCATTATGGAACAAGAAAAGTTCTGGGCAGCCAGTCACATTCACTGATATCTTTGGAATGTTGATTGGGGAAACACTTATTCAAAATGTAAGTGCATTTTTATGGTTATTAAAGCTGTGAGTTTGTTGCAAACTAAACTGGAGTTACTGGAACTGATCCTTTTGTAATCTCACTGCCATTTTCTCAAACAAGTTTAGCAGCAGGAATGTTTAAGAAAATACTGTGCAATAAGCTTTGAAAGTGCATCAATCCTGGAGCCTATTATTTGCACTGGAACCGGAGTCGTAAGATTTGTATTGATATCAAAATGATACTATGTGCCCCCCAAAACAAACAAAAAACATTTGATATTGTCTAAAGACTACCTGTAGATGAGGTTGACCATATAGTATTCATGGGATTTATTAATGAATTAATTTAAAATAACAGAAGCATTCAAGCACTCAATCTGTCCATGCACATTCTGGGAACAAATTATTCATTTAGGATACCAGCCAAAATCCATTTATCTATATTTTCATTATATGAACATTTTATCACCATTTTTTCTGAAAGTGGAACAAAGGACACTGTAATGTAGTATTAAGGATAAGCCTTGTTTGATTAAATCAGGTTTAACAGACTTGTTAAAGTGAGTAAATTCTGCTAACAACTTATGTAGAGAAAGATTGCTTAATTGCACTTTTCAGCTCAGTGCATGTAATACATCTTTGCATGTATTCATCTATTAATAGATTATTATGGATGTCTTATACTTTCCGATGGGCATGTGTATAAATTATGCAGGAAATGATCTGTTCCAAGATAAAAGACTGTAGCATATTAACAACAAAACAAACAATTCTGGAGAAGGTGGTATATTGACTATTCCCAAGGGTGAGGGGATGTGCTTACATACTGTGCTGTAAGGTTGACAAGAATTATGTCGTATGCCTATTTACAGAAGTATAAACCAGACCTATAGCTGAATATAGAGGTTTACACAAATGACTGAGAGAGCTGAATATATGGCCCAGGATTCCTGGTGCTCAGCCCTTTGCCTTAAGCAGCAGACAACATTTCTTACTATTGACATATGGTAAATGATATTAATGAAATGGCATGAGACTAAGAAAAAAATGTTTGTAGTATTAAGACTTTGAAAATCTTCCTAGCTCCCTAATGTGTTTTCCAAATGTTAATTCTTGTTTTAAGAATTAAAGAATTGTTTTAAGAATTAAAGATTTTAAGATCTCCACCCTAGAGTTCTAAAGGAACTGGCCGAGGTCATTGCAGGACCCCTGGCACGGCTTTACGAGCACTCATGGTGCTCTGGAG